CATTTGTCCATTATTAATTGAATTAATTTTTTTTTTTCTTTGTGGTACTGGGATTTAAACTCAGGGCCTCATGCTTGCTAGGTGGGCGGTCTACCATTTGAGCCACACCTCCAGCCCAAATTAATCATTCTTTTGGTGTTTAATTTTTTGAGCTCTTTTGTATTCTATATATTAATCCTTTATCTAATGAATAACTGGCAAATATTTTTTCCCTCCATTCTGTAGGTTGTCTCTTCATTCTGATTCTTTTGATTGTTCTTTTGTAATTGTTTCCTTTGATGTGCAGAAGCCTTTTAATTCAGTGTAGTTCCATCTGTCAATTACTTCCTAAGCAATTGGAGTCCTATTCAGAAAGTAATTGCCTCTGCCTAATCTTCAAGTGCTTTCCCTCTGTTTTCTTCTAGTTATTTCAAAGTTTCATTTCTTACATTAAGGTCTTTGATTTATTTAGAAATGATTTTTCTCAGGGTGAGAGCTAGGGATCCATTTTTTTTTTTTTAAGTGAAAGTGATAGTAAAGTTTATTAGGAAAGAAGTACACTTCCAATAGACTGAAAGCGGGTCATCTCTAGAGTGAGAACAAGAATCACTTAAGGATCTGTCTTTAGTCTTCTAAATGTGAATATTCAGTTTTCTGAACACCATTTGTTGAAGAGACTGTCATTTCTCCACTGTATGTTTTTGGCTTCTTTGTCAAAAATCAACTGTGTGTGTTTATTTCTGAATTTTCTATTCTATTCCACTGGTGAACATGTCTTTTTCTGGGCCAATACAACGATCTTTGTATTGGTAGAAGTCAGGTATTTGTGGTATGTCTGGCATTGCTCTTTTTTTTTATTGCTGAAGATTACTTTGACTATTGAGGGTCTTAATTTTCTGTGTGAAATTTGGATTGATTTTTCTGTTTCTGTGAGATTTGGTGATAATTGCATTGAATCTATAAGATAGCTTTTGGTAATATAGCTACTTTCACAATATTACTTCTGCCAATTCATGAATATGGGAGGTCTTTTCATTTTCTAGTGTTCTCCTTCAATTTCCTTCTTCAGTGTTTTATTGGTATTTATTGTGATATTCCCTCCCATCTCTAGTTTTATTAATTTGGATCTTCTTCCTTTTAGTGTATCTAACACTTTGCCAATCTTACATATCTTTTCAAAGAACCAACTTTCTGTTTCATTTATTCTTTGTAATTTCTTTGTCTCCATTTCATTAATTTCTGCCCTGATTCTTTTTTTTTTTTTTTCCTCCCAGTACTGGGGTTTGAACTCATGGCCTAAACCTTGAGCCACTCCACCAGCCCTTTTTTTGTGATGGAGTTTTTCAAGATAGGGTCTCATGAAGTTTTTGCCTCAGCAGGCTGCAAAACGCAGTCCTCCTGAGTAGCTAGGATTACAGGCGTGAGCCACTGGCACCTGGCTACAACTGCCCTGATCTTTATTATTTCTTTTCTCCTGCTAATTTGGGGTTTGGCTTTTTCTTATTTTTCCAAGAACTTGAGGTGCGTTATTAGGTTATTTTTTTGAGATCACTCTGATTTTTTAATGTATGCCTGGTAATTTTTGATTGGATGTCAGACATTTTGAATTTTACTTTGTTGGGAAGGAGGCTTATATGTAGTTTTTGTTGTTTTTTTGAGACATGGTGTCATAGCTCAGACTGGCCTGGAACTTGAGATCCTCTTGCCTCTGCCTCCTGACTGGTGGGATTACAGGCATGTACCACCATGTGTGGGTGTGTGTTATGTGATGTGATATGTTTATATTCCTATGAATTTTTTTGGACTCTTGGAATGCAGTTAATTTATTTGAAAGTAATTTGTTTCTTTTAGAGTTTGCTTTAAGATTTGTCCTTAAGGTGAACCTGAGAAGTGTTTAGGAATAATTTTTCTGCATTACTGAGACAAGGTTTTTCTCAGTGCCCAGTGTGGTAGTATTACTGAAAATGATCATTACTGGTCATCTCCTTCTCCAGGGAAGAAGTCTTCCAAAGGGAGGAGGTCTCTGCTTGGCACTTGAATACCAAATTTGTGATGTTGTTGAAAAAAAGAATTTTAGGACACATAGAGATAGAGACCAAGAAAGTTTATTAGTAAATAAAAACAAAGGAAAGGTAGAGAAATATAGTATGCTACCCAGACATGGGTAACAGGCATATCTGGTAATAGGTGCAATGAGTGCTCTAACATCAGATGTATTTATGGTGGAAAAATGGGTTGGGCGTTTGGCTCAAATTTACTGTAGGAAAAGTATTTGTGTTTGTTCTGACACCTGGTATATTTAATCATTTTTTTGATCAGTTGTGCCCAAAGATTTTAAGGTTAACCCACTTATTAAATGTAGATCATCTGACATAGATGTTTGAGTGTTCTTTTAAACAAGAATGGGTCCTGCCAGATTCTCCCTTTAAGACAGTTATCCATTGTTGTGATAAGTATTTTTCTTTGCAAATACTTTTTGTGCCCAGAAGATAAGTGTCTTTTTTTAAGTATCTTTGCTCAGGTCTGAGAGCACAGTATTTGGGCAAGTGGGGAGATAGCTGCTCTTTTTCCTTTTTTTTTTTTCTTTTTTTCTCAAAACAAAAAACTGAGTGTTGCATCTTATTGAGGGTGTGTAAGGCTTTAAGCAAAGACAATGGTACCTGTGTGCTTTTGATCAAGCCATCCGTTAATACAGTGTTTATCTCTGAATTCCTGGCTGCTCTTTCCCTGTTGCTTTTTTCCTGATCTATCCTGCTTCACTATGAATTATGAAATTTCCTAATCTGTCTGATAGGAACAGGTGTTATTCCTGTCCCCGACTGGGTATCAGGGACTGGTTTATTTCTCTTAGTATCTTAGGTTACTTCCATCTCTTGGCTATTGTGAATAATTCCCCAGTGAATGTGTCTCTCTAAATATCTCTTTGAAATCCTGCTTTTAATTCTTTTGGATATATATCCAGAAGTGGGATAGCTGGATTATGTGATAGTTCTATTTTTGATTCTTTTGAGGGAATTATCATACTCCTCTGCATACTGATTATATCATTTTGTAAACCCTATTGACAAAGGTTCCAATTTTCTTAAAAGCTTTAAGATAGCCTATTTTATGTCTGCCTACTTTTCCCTAGTTTAGGGCAATGGTGGCAGTTTTAGGGAAGGGGATATTGTAGTGGTGGGGTCATGGAAAGCACTCAGATATTCCCAATATTTTGGTATTACTAGCTAAGATACCAGGTCTTTGTTAGGCTCCATAGACTTGATTCTTAATAACTTTTGGTGAATATCTTCACTTAGTTGGGAGCCATGTTTTCTCCCATTGATGTACAGATTGTTTCCCTGATGCAGTTTGTGAATTCCTACAGCTTTTACTTTAGACAGAAAGAGTGTTTAGCTATTTTTATTCCTCCTCAGTCAGAAGAGGGAAAAGAGAAAATGGGGTTAGCCACTGCATTTGTTTCTACTTATGTTCACTGTAATGTGAAAATTACCATGGATTTGTCATTTTACAAGTTAGGCCTTCTGGCTCAGTGGCCTTAGAGCTGAACCCAGCCATGTCCTTTAATTTTCCAGAATCTTGGTAGTTTCTTGGTTATCCATTTCTGAAGCTTACTCACTTGGTTATTTTTTCTTTTTACTTATTTTGTTTGCTGATCATAAATTTTCTTTTTGGCTTTTTATTTTATTTTGTGTTTATTTTTATTTTACATTTACAAAGATGCTTACAATGTATCTTAATTATATTCAATCCCCTCCATCATTCTCCTTTATCCCTTTTCCCCCCATTGTTAGAAGATTCTCAACAGGTCTCATTTTTTCATTTTCATACATGAGTACAAGTAACGTTTAACAGGAAAATATGTTTTTGCTTATTTTATCAAAAAGAATATATAATTGAAATTTGTTATTGTAGCACCTTGTTATTTGTATAAAATGCTCAGATACAAATATTTACACAAAACTATCTCAAAAAAAGTTTACAAATAACAAATGTGGTTTATGCCAAGTGTTAGGTTAAAGATGATAACCATAAGTAAATGTCTGGAAAGAAATTAATTGACTATGGCTTTTTTTTTTTTGGGTACTGGACTTAAACTCAGGGCCTTCACCTTGAGCCACTCCACCAGCCCTATTTTTGTGAAGGGTTTTTTGAGATAGGATCTCATGATCTATTTGCTTGGACTGGTTTTGAACCATGATCCTCCTGATCTCTGCCTCTTGAGTAGCTAGGATTACAGGTGTGAGTCACTGGTGCTTGACTCTTAATAAAAAAAGACTTTTTGTAACAGTAAAATGTTTTTCCTAAATCAGCTTTTTTAAAAAAATAATTTTTGATGATTGTGTATGGGTTTTCTGTCATGAAGTTAGGTAGGAAGTAAACATGCTTACTTTCCTAGGAAGGATATGAGGAAAGAAAAATAATTTTAGGCCAAAAACCTATTAAGAGTTGAAATTTTTAAAAAGACTGTATTATATACCTCTAATTATTCTCCAGGGTCCTATTTCTTTCTGTTAGAGTGCAAAATTTTGCTGGACTTTTTAATGGCTGTGGCAGATATATAGTGATCTCTTTATGAAATAAAAAAAGACTACCTGGGAATTACACAATTTATGATTAAAGTAATTGGCCTATAACAAAGTTTAAATGAATAGTGATTAAACAAAATTCCTGTTTTAATGGACATGAATTTTAGAATTTAAAATTTGTTGTCTCTTTATCCTTAAATGTTGCCTAGTAATTAAAACACAAGAGAATGTAGCATAGTAATTCAAATAGAAAAAAATATAATGAGGAAATATAGTCACAGATTTTATTTCAATATATATATTATCAATGCATAATGAGGATTTTTGAGGTCTTGGAAATTTATTTGTTGTGGGAACAAGTGTATTCCCTGTGAAACTTCATTAAGTATATAAGTATGATTTATGTGGTTTGGTGTATGTTACATTGTAATCAAATTAAAGAAAATACTATTAAAGTATGAAAAAAATTTACCTTCTTTTATTTTTCCTTTCAAGGAAATGATTGTTGACAGAGTAAATGGACAGACTGTTCCTAGATATTTGATATATGACATAATTAAATTCAACGTAAGTACCGTTTATAATTTATAAGTATATAATTTATGAAACTTGTCACTGAAATAGTTGATGATTTTTATTTTTTTGTTGTGCCGATTATTGAACCCAGGGCCTCACACATGGTAGGCAGGCATTCTATCTTTGAGCTATGTTTCAGCCCTAAAATAACAGATATTTTGAACAAATGAAAAGGTCAGATGTTATGACACACATCTGAAATACTAACACTTGGGAGGCAGAGGCAGGAGGATAATGAGTTTGAGGACAGACGGTGCTACGTAGAAAGACCCTGTCTCAAAAAACCAATCCTCCACATTCACTAAAAGAAATATTTGTTACTGCCTCAGAGACAGTAGGAAATAAAAATTGTGACTCAGACTACTCAGTGCCTATCTTTGTGTTAATACTTTTATATCTGCTTTTCTTTCTTTTATTGGCTTTCATATTACATATATCTTTGTCTAAACTGTAACCTAACTGAGTAAAGATAAACAGTTGAACTCTGATGGAGTAAGACAGCATTTTGTGAAAAGGAAATTTCTTGGCTTTAATTGCCATGTACCTGTTTTAAAAAAAAAAAGTCCATAATAGATCACCTGCTTAGCAAGTGCAAGGCTCTGAGTTCAAACCTCAGTAGTACCAAAAAGAGAAAAAATTAATTTCTTATGTCTAAAAAAGTCACAAGTTTTATTTCTGTCTCTTAAAAGGATTTTAAGAAAGTGGAACTAATTATATAGTATTGAATTGTGAAAGGTGTCATTCATGAATCCAAATAAATCAAGATAAAATACAAAAATTGCAAAAATATGTAATAATTATAAAAATAGAAATTATATTCTCTACCCATTTTCTACAGTTTTAGATTAGTAAAGGATCTGTTTTCCTGTTCATCTTTAATTATAATACGAATGTCTAAATTATTTGTGCAGAACAAGATGACTTCTATAAATGCAAGAAATTCAACATTAAAACATTTAACATTGTAACATTAAAAAGGTATAATCATTCCTCTAGATGTATATTATTCAAATTACATAATCATTTAGCATTCAAACCAGACTAAAAACATTTAAAAATTTTGGAATTAAAAGTATTTAATTTTAATATTCTGAAGATTTATAACAACATTTTTTTGAAATAGATCTTACTATGTAGCCTAGGGTTGTCTCTAGCTTGTACTATTCCTCTTGCCTTATCCTCACAAGTGCTGGAATTACAGGCCTGTGCCACCACTCCTGGGTTATAACAATATTTTTAAAAGTCTTTTTTGTTGGGGGTAGGGAGTAATAAACTGCAGTATTAAAATCCAAGATTTCATTAATTATAGTTAAAAGCATTTTTTTGGTAAAATTTCAATTTATATATCTCAATTTTTGGTCTAATTTCTTTATTTCAAATATAGAGCTTCAAATTTAAGAACCTCAAACTCAGGAAACATCAAGTCATTTATTCTTCTGCTACTATATTCTTCAAAATGAATGCTTTCCAGAGTTTGCTAATCTTATCACAGATCTTGGAATAACATTCATTATCCTGTAACTAGACGTCTATGGTGAGGGTAATTTTACTTCTTTGTTGAAAGGGGTAGTGCTGTCTCTCCTTTGCCTTTTTTTTCCATAATTAATTAATTGTTTATTAATTAATAAAGCAAAGGGTTTTCATTGTGCTATTGCCATACATGTATATAATTTACTTTTATCACATTTACCTCTGTTACTCTTCCTTATCTCCCCTGCACTCCCCTTTTGCACAATTTTTAACAGGATTTATGACTATTTTTCATACATGCATATGAGGAACTCTCTCTCCTCCAATCAAACAGTGCCTCCCCCCGCTGTTTTACTCTGTGTCACTTACTTTTTACAATCTAGATTTTGTATATAAGAACAGATTATTTTTCTCAGTCTGCCTGAGTTTGCTTAACCTGATAATTCCTAGTTCCATTTGTTTTCCTACAAATGACGTAATTTCAGTCTTCACTATCCTTTTAACTCCATTGAACTCCATGTGTGTTTAATCTCACAGTTTCTCTTTTCATTAAATTTTATTGTTGTAAAATAATTTTGTGACATTTACAAAAGTTCTTACAACATATCATAGTTGAATTCACCTCTTCCATCGTTCTCATTTTTTCCCTCTCCTCTGATTCCTGGAATAGTTTCAGTAGGTCTCATTTTTCCAATTTCATACTGAATACATAATATTTCCACTACATTTACCCTCCTCTTCCCTTTCCTCTTATCTTTTCCTTCCCACTGATACCAGCCACCAGACAGGACCTGCTTTACCTTCCTGTTCTCTGTTTTGGAAAAAAGATATTTTTTTGTTTAAGATAGCTCTACAGGGAGTTTCCTTGTGACATTTGTGTGTGTGTGTGTGTGTGTGTGTGTGTGTGTGTGTGTATGTGTGTATCTATACCTATCTATCTATCAGTAGCAACCTGAATTGGTTCATGTCCTCTATTTTTCTACTTTCTTTGTCCTCTTCTTATGGTGATTTCAGCAGGTTTAAAAATTCTATGTTTATTTTTGTATAGAGAGTACATCATATTCACCTTCTTAACTTCCTTCTTTTACCCTCTTTCCCCTGTCAGTGACCTTCCCTTAGTGTAACTTGTTTTTCATATTATTTCTTTTTTTTTTTTAGATTGTTTTTATCTCATAAAATTATCTAATGCTTTCTTTCTTTATTTTTTTTATTCATATGTGCATACAAGGCTTGGATCATTTCTCCCCCCTGTCCCCACCCCCTCCCTTACCACCACTCCGCCCCCTTCCTCTCCCCCCTACCCCCTCAATACCCAGCAGAAACTATTTTGCCCTTATTTCTAATTTTGTTGTAGAGAGAGTATAAGCCATAATAGGAAGGAACAAGGGTTTTTGCTGGTTGAGAGAAGGAAAGCTATACAGGGAGTTGACTCACATTAATTTCCTGTGCATGGGTGTTACCTTCTAGGTTAATTCTTTTTGATCTCACCTTTTCTCTAGTTCCTGGTCCCCTTTTCCTATTGGCCTCAGTTGCTTTTAAGGTATCTGCTTTAGTTTCTCTGCGTTAAGGGCAACAAATGCTAACTAATTTTTTAGTTGTCTTACCTATCCTCACCCCTCCCTTGTGTACTCTCGCTTTTATCATGTGCTCAAAGTCCAATCTCCTTGTTGTGTTTGCCCTTGATCTAATGTCCACATATGAGGGAGAACATACTATTTTTGGTCTTTTGGGCCAGGCTAACCTCACTCAGAATGATGTTCTCCAATTCCATCCATTTACCAGCGAATGATAACATTTTGTTCTTCTTCATGGCTGCATAAAATTCCATTGTGTATAGATACCACATTTTCTTAATCCATTCGTCAGTGGTGGGGCATCTTGGCTGTTTCCATGACTTGGCTATTGTGAATAGTGCCGCAATAAACATGGGTGTGCAGGTGCCTCTGGAGTAACCTGTGTCACAGTCTTTTGGGTATGTCCCCAAGAGTGGTATTGCTGGATCAAATGGTAGATCCATGTCTAGCTTTTTAAGTAGACTCCACATGTTTTTCCAGAGTGGTTGTACTAGTCTACATTCCCACCAACAGTGTAAGAGGGTTCTTTTTCCCCCACATCCTCGCCAACATCTGTTGTTAGTGGTGTTGCTAATGATGGCTGTTCTAACAGGGGTGAGGTGGAATCTTAGTGTGGTTTTAATTTGCATTTCCTTTATTGCTAGAGATGGTGAGCATTTTTTCATGTGTTTTTAAGCCATTTGAATTTCTTCTTTTGAGAAAGTTCTGTTTAGTTCACTTGCCCATTTCTTTATTGGTTCATTAGTTTTGGGAGAATTTACTTTTTAAGTTCCCTATATATTCTGGTTATCAGTCCTTTGTCTGATGTGTAGCTGGCAAATATTTTCTCCCACTCTGTGCGTGTTCTCTTCAGTTTAGAGACCATTTCTTTTGATGAACAGAAGCTTTTTAGTTTTATGAGGTCCCATTTATCTATGCTATCTCTTAGTTGCTGTGCTGCTGGGGTTCCATTGAGAAAGTTCTTACCTATACCTACTAACTCCAGAGTATTTCCTACTCTTTCCTGTATCAACTTTAGAGTTTGTGGTCTGATATTAAGATCCTTGATCCATTTTGAGTTAATTGGTATAGGGTGATATACATGGATCTAGTTTCAGTTTTTTGCAGACTGCTAACCAGTTTTCCCAGCAGTTTTTGTTGAAGAGGCTGCTATTTCTCCATCGTATATTTTTAGCTCCTTTGTCAAAGACAAGTTGGTTATAGTTGTGTGGCTTCATATCTGGGTCCTCTATTCTGTTCCACTGGTCTTCATGTCTGTTTTTGTGCCAGTACCATGCTGTTTTTATTGTTATTGCTTTGTAATATAGTTTGAAGTCAGGTATTGTGATACCTCCTGCATTGTTCTTTTGACTGAGTATTGCCTTGGCTATTCGTGGCTCTGTGTTTCCAATATAAATTCAGTAGATTTTTCAATCTCTTTAATGAATGTCATTGGAATTTTGATGGGAATTGCATTAAACATGTAGATTACTTTTGGGAGTATCGACATTTTTTACTATGTTGATTCTACCAATCCATGAGCATGGGAGATCTCTCCACTTTCTATAGTCTTCCTCAATCTCTTTCTTCAGAAGTGTATAGTTTCCTTGTAGAGGTCTTTCACATCTTTTGTTAGGTTTACACCTAGGTGTTTGATTTTTTTGAGGCTATTGTAAATGGAATTGTTTTCATACATTCTTTTTCCGTTTGCTCATTGTTAGTGTATAGAAATGCTAATGATTTTTCTATGTTGATTTTATATCCTGCTACCTTGCTATACTATTGATGATGTCTAGAAGCTTCTGAGTAGAGTTTTTGGGTCTTTAAGGTATAGGATCATGTCGTCTGCAAATAGGGATATTTTGACAGTTTCTTTACCTATTTGTATTCCTTTTATTCCTTCTTCTTGCCTAATTGCTCTGGCTAGGAATTCCAGTACTGTGTTGAATAGGAGTGGAGATAGTGGGC